ATCCATTTGACTTGCAGCGCTTGTACCTGCGTGGCTGGGTCAAGTATCCCTAAACCTCCCCCTGCCTTTGGTTGGACAATGGAGTCCTAGACCACTCTGCTGATTACATTGGTTTGCTCACCGTCCCCCTTCCATTGAAAGGCTGCAGCCTTTTGCCTTAGAGCCCTCAGAGCTACTTTGCTTAATGGCCATAGTAGGGACTTATACCATAATGATGCAAAGACTACGTTATTGAAAACTAAGGCACGACCGAAGAGGGATGTGTGTTTGTTTTTCCAATTGTTTAGTTTGTGCTGCGCCGAGGTGCTGATCCATTCGTCATTAATAGCTGGCCTCCCTTCTGCGGTCATGGATACCCCCAGGCATCCAGGGTACACGTGGGGCCTCTAGGGGACGTCCTCCTTGGTAGTGAATCCACCAACCTTATGTTTTGGACCCCCAATTGACGGACATGTCGGAAATCTTGGTGAATTTCTCCATCATGGGTTGAATTTCCTCCATGGTATGGTGTGTGGCCTCTGTGATAATTGTAAGGTCATCCGCAAAGACGGAACACATCGGGACTGCTTCCTCGGGGATGCGTGTAACTCGTATTTTGGTGATATACTTGTTTGCCCGAAGGTTGGCGGCCAGTGCTTCCATAATGACAACGAACAGGAAGGGGGCAATATGATCCCCTTGTCTAACCGACCGTTCCAGGCGTAGAGCCGGTGCAAGACTTCCATTGACTTGGACGCATGTGGTGGCGTTTTGGTGTAGGATTTGTAGCCATCATCTGAAATCTGGCCCAAAGTTCATCTTTTCGAGACAATTATCTACAAACAGTCAATCCACATGGTCATAATCCTTTTCAAAGTCGATGAATATTAGAGCCGCATTCTGACGAGAGTGCCTCGTGAGTTGAAGGATTTCATGTGTCAACATGATATTCTCTTATATGTTCCTGTTTTTCATGAAGCCGGTTTGATCAGCATGAATAATGTCATCCACTACTGGAATCATTCGGTTTGCCAAGGCCTTGGACAACATTTTATAAACAACTGTGAGTGTCATGGGTCTATAATTCCTAATGTCCATTTTATCCCCTTTTTTTATATAGGAGAAGGGCCGACCATATCTCGTTCTTGGAGAGCGAGGCTTCTAAGGATTCCCGTTGTTCGATCGTCAGAGTCTTATTAAGTGGTTCCAAGAATATGGTGCTGAGGATCAAACTTATCTAAGTGTGAAGAGAAAAGATCCTTGTAGAAACCGTAAGTTACCTTCTTACAGCGGGCTGTGGACACGGCCGGGTCTGAGTCCCTGGCATCGGGTTCGTTGTCAGCGTGTTCTAGCCAAGCCAAAGAAGTGAGAGTTCATTACCCCTTCAGTGGAGAATCTGGATAACCTTGCCCTTGTTTGGGCGCCTTGTCATCTGTATTGTGCTTGTTCGAAGAGTTGATCCTTTAATTCTTGTATGCGAGATTGTAGGTCAATGATCCTCTGCTCCTGCCCTTGCAAAAATAAGGAATTCTGCTCTTGTTCTGCGCTTACTAAATTCTGCATGATCGTGACTTCTTGGTGGTGTCTCTGGGCGGCTAGATGTTGGGAGTACTCGTTACACTTTTTGGCCATAAAGAATAGGCCATTGTTAAACCAGGCAGTCTGTGATTCTTGTTGGGGGCGTTGGTCTTTCCAGAAGTCCCAAACTTGTTGGAGGAAAAAGATGATTAAATTAATGAGTTGAATATGGTATATAAAAGACAAGAACTTATAAATCAATATATAAAACGGCTTCGAACAAATAGGCAAGTCGAACTAACAGGGGTCAGTCGGGAGAGTTTATTGCTTACCTAAGCTCAAGGATGTCTCTCACTAGGGGGCCAATTTGCCCTTCTTCCCCAGAGAGATTGGCACTAAGGTGGGCGACGGGTAGCTTGGGGTATCAATCATCATCTGAGTATCCGTGGCGGGCGCCCAAAAATATCGGAGACTTTTTTAACCAACGCATGTCAACTTCTTCTTCTTCAAAAAAAAAAAAAAAAAAAGAGGCTGCACTGCTCGCGAACGTGGCTGATTGTTGTCACAATACCTCTGCGGACCGGTCTATCTGCACTTTGCCCACTTGCATATCATGATTAACCCAAAAAAAAAAAAAAAAAAAAAAAAAAGATGATATGGAGTGTCTCACGATGTTTTGACTGTTCGCTTGTTTGGAAAGTTGGCTCATACTTTTACACTGCTGGATATTGTTGACATATACACTCAATTTTTTTTTTTTCTCGCAGTCCAAGAGGAGAAAAGTCAGGTCTAATGAAGTCACTTTATTTGGGACAACAGAGGCCATAATATGCGGTGGTGATTTACACACCACTGCAACAATGACATCGGCATCAGTGTGGCATAAGTGGTGATTACCCCAAAACAGATGGACATTACGTTGAGGCTGACATAGCTCTTTTTTTTTTTTTTTTTTTTTGTGACTGACATAGCTCTAGGATCACCATTACCCTCAGATCAGCACAATTGTCATTTTAATATGATTTTAATATTTTATGCTTTTCATTTGATTTCTGGATTTGTGTATTTCAACTGTCCATGAGCGTACCCACCGAGCTAGGCTCAGTGGTACAGATCAATATCATCGTTAAATCAACATGGGGATTACAGAAACACCCCCACACCCTTGGTATTGCTCGCAGATCGACATCGCCCGAAGATTATTATCACTCCGCAAACCGCATCAGCCCGAAATCGACATCGCAATCTGATATCGATTTCACTCTGGGAGAGAGCGATGTCTCGCCCTGGGATCGACAAGTTGCCTCAAACCACAGGTACTTAGGATCCTTTTTTTTTTCTTTTTTTTTTTTCCAAACAAATGCTCCAGTCTATTCGTGGGGAGCAGCACGATCCTCTTCTTCCCATTGCCAAATTTTCCACTGCAGGTCAAGTTTCGCGGAACCAATGCGGGCACAAAAACGTTTTTTGGGGGCAGATAGTGCCGCCAGGCTCTTCGATCCACTAGGCCAACCCCTGAAATGTCACCCTTGAGATTGGCATTGCCTCTAAGCACCACAAGCGGAGCGGTTATCAGGGACCCCCAGCCTCATTACTACCCCTCTGAACACTGCCAATCTCAAGGGTTACATTTCAGGGGTTGGGGTTGGGACAACTTGGGAGTAGTCCCAAGCCTCAGAGCACTTGTACTTCCGACCCCTGAAAAACCGCCATCGGGAAAAAGAGGCTTGGAAGTACCGGTACTCAGAGGCTTGGGAGTTCCGGTCCTCAGAGGCTTGGGACTACTCCCAAGCCTCTGAGCACTGGTACTTCCACCCCTCTGAGCACCAGTACTTTCAAGCCTCTTTTTCCCGATGCCGATTTCTGCTGCGTGCCGATTTCTTTCACACTCGCACGAACGCGAAATCTCTTCTTCTTTCGCCTGGCGCCGCTGGCGTTTTTTACCCCCAAAAGTCGCAGGCCACGTACGGCCACACCGGAACAATTTGCCTGTGGAAAAAAAAATACCAATGGTTTAGAAGTTTGAACTGATATCTCACCCTGAAATTGACATTGCGTTGATGATGACAGCAAGAATATTAATTTAAAATCATTTTGCAATAAAGATGACGACTTGACGTCCCACGCTGAGATCCGCATTTTGCTGTAAAACAAAACAAAAAAATGATACGAGATTAACTTTGCTGACAAATCAATATTGTCATGAAAAAGTTGACCCCTCACACTGAGATCGGCATTTCGATCACGAGGTTGAAGACTTCGCTGACGAATCGACGTCGCCGCCCCACCCCACCCACGATTGGCACGAAGATAAAAAGTGATACAACCCTGAGATTCAATGGCACTGTCGTATCGTAAAATAGAGATCGCCCGCCACATTGACATTGCCGGAGACACGGGCAGTTTACCCATACGGCGGCTTGTTAAACACACCCACCCGAGGGCTGTCAGCGCTCACACTCTAGTCATATGTACAGTTACTGATTCAAACACAAAGCGAACAAACTGCAGAACAATGCTCACTCTAGACTCTATCCGGCAGAGATAGACACGATAGGCTATAATAGCTATAGTCGTTGCTTACTGCAATGACTCAGAGACAGTACAGCAACAGCTCACGGAGGCCTACTGCAACCCCCTGACCACCCTCTGTTACACGACGTAACGGTGGCGAATAATGCCCTGCATCTTCGCTTCCTGCCCCCCTCCTCTCCCATCTTTTGTACTTCCACTCACATAAGGCCTCTCTCCCAACCTCCAACCCTTGTGCCTTTCCCCTCATGAGGCGCGTCTTCAAACCTCTGCAATGGTCCAATTTTGCAGCGCCAACATATCGGTGCTGCATTTTGCTTGTTTACCCCCCTCTCCACAGGAATATAAACTCGTAAACCCTTTCTTCCGCAAGAAGCCTACCCGTCCTCATCAGGTTTCTCCGAACCTCCGATTCTCCCGACTCCACAGGAACGTAAACCCTTTTTTCTTCTGCATGAGCCCTTGCAGCACTGCATCTCGATGTCCGCTTAACTTCTCGCATGAGGCCCACCTCAACCTGTGACCCTCTGCTACACCAACTAGCGGTGCCGAAAAACAAACTGCACGACCTCTTTCTTCCCTCTCCACTTGTACTCTCTTCCACTCATAAGGCCTCTCCCATCCTCCTACCCTCACGAGAAGTCTCCCGACCTCCAACCTGGGTACTTCCTTCCTCAACGGCAGACTAAAACACTTTTTGTCGGTTCGAGCGAGTCGGGACCACGGCGATATAACTTAATAGGTCGAAGCATCAGAGCGGCCTCTCCCTACCTTCAATCCTTCACAACGTGGGACAGTGGCAGTCCCAAAATACACGATAGATTCCCTCTTTTTCAGCCCCGGTGTGTCCTCCACAAGCCCACAAATATGACAGAATCACTTGGAGTACATTCATATGATGAGCTGTTTGTACCGTCCTCTGGAGTGGAAGAGGCAAAAGGTGGACACAGCGAATCGCCTGCGCTCCCCCACTACCAAATTTGAGCGTAGAACTTGCAGCCCAGTGTTGAGCAGATGGCCACCTCCTTTCTGCAAGACCACACTAAGGTCTTTCTTCCCCTCCATTGAAGATTACTCTTTCCCAAATGCACCTGACCGCAACTGCAGCCAGACCTGGAGGAATCTGACTGCGATTACAGCCACAGACCTGGATGAACAAGATCCCCAGACCATTCAGTCACACTACGCTTTCCCAAATGCACCTGACCGCAATTACAGCCAAGACGTGGATGGATCTGACTGCAATGACATCCAGAGCTCAGTAGAAAAAAGTTTTGGCATGAGTTTGCAGTGCCCTTAATCTCCCATGCCCGCAGACCTTAGCTGCACATAACTTCTCTGGCTCTTCCATTGCAGTACATGCACCGCCCTGCCATAGTCATTGCTATATACTACAACGCTGCAGCCTTCAGGCCGCTGCCACTTCTGCCCGTGCCATTGCAGGCCCAATGCAGGCACCGACCGTCGTCATCCGCTGCTGCCTGACGTAGCTCTCTGTCTTCAAGAACCAGGAACCTGGTCAAGATAGAGCCCTTTATTCACATCATCACCCGATTTGTAAAAAAAGTATTCAAGAACCAGGAACCAATGGGCCTCGCTCCACGACTCTCCAAATGTGAGAAATGAGAATGAATCTTCCGCTATAACTTGAAAAGACACATTGCCAATGTTTTTGTCTTATGCGCATGTGGAGAGTAGCGGAGCGAGGCCCAATGTCAACTAGCACAGGAGACTTGCCGTCAATAACTCAATAAATATTAACCGTCGATAATTGCACAATCGACCGCCGATCATCCGGTGATTTTCCCGTCGACGTTTCCATAATGTAGAAAAGACTGGCATTCCTTGTTGCACTCCGAGATCTCGATAATTGTACAATGCATGCATGGGCCGTATCGCCTCAGATCCCAACTGCACCCGAAACACATCCTGTGAACTGCAAACTCTCTGTTGCTCCCCGAAACACGTCCTGCTATTCTTGTACATTTTCCACGTAGGCTGCTGGGACTACATCAAGAAAAAGACATCCTTCATTCGCCAGAAACAGTACTACATGTCCCATGATTGCCATCGCTGCAAAAAGGACAGTGGAAAACCATGTCCTGGTTCTTGTTATCTACAACTAATCCACAGCATTTGAGCACAGGATCATACACACTCCCAACACACAAACTCTCTCTCTTCCCCCCCCCTCTCTCTCTGTCTGTCTGTCTGTCTGTCTGTCTGTCTGTCTGTCTCTCTCTCTCTCTCTCTCTCTCTCTCTCTCTCTCTCTCTCTCTCTCTCTCTCTCTCTCTCT